GGTCATTGGTGGTAGCCAGGCACCATCTAGTTCTTCTGGTCTCAGGCTGATGGAGTCTCTAGTTTATGTGGCCCTTTCTGTCTCTCGGGCTAATGTTTTCCTTGTGACTTTGGTGTTCTTCATTCTCTGTTGCTCCAGGTGGGTTGGGACCAATTGATGCATCTTAGATGGCCATTCCCTAGCTTTTAAGACCCCAGATGCCACTCACCAAAGTGGGATGCAGAACATTTTCTTAGTAAACTTTATTATACCAATTGACCTAGATGTCCCCTGAAACCATGGTCCCCAGACCCCTGCCCCTGCTACTCTGTCCGTCAAAGTATTTGTTTGTATTCAGGAAACTTCTTAGCTTTTGGTTTAGTCCAGTTGTGCTGACTTCCCCTGTACTGTGTGCTGTCCTTCCCTTTACCTAAAATAATTCTTGTCTACTATCTAGTTAGTGAATACCCCTCTCCCTCCCTCCCCACCCTCATAACCATAAAACAATGTTTTCTTCTGTGTTTAAACCTTTTCTTGCAAACTGCCAATCTTTTGGTTAGCAGCCAAACACTTAACCACTGGTCAGTAAATAAGAGGTGATAAATGCTGGGTCAGCACTGGATCAAGCCTGGGCTTGGGAGATGGAGGGATTTACCTGAGCTTTCCCGGCCCAGGAACGCCTGAGCAAAAATCTCACCGACCCAGGCCTGCAGCTCCGAGTCCTGCTGCACAGATGCATCACTGGGATAATAGTAGCCCACAATTTCCAAGACAAAGCTGCAGGAGAGATAATGGAGCCACTATGGCAACCCGGGGCTCAGGCCCAGCCAGGACACCCAGGCCCAGCATCAGCTCAGGCTGGGAGAGGCAGACAGCCAGAGTCCACTGAGTCCATGAGGAGACCCCCAAACCTGGCTACAGTCTGAATGCCCAGGCTGCCTTAAGCCCCAACCTCACCCCGGAGTCATGGGGGCTCGGGGCCTACTTCCTGCACAGGGGACCGAAGGGAGAATGCACTGATGGGAGTCTGACTCAGGCTGTGTCCCCTCCCCATTCAGCTCCCAGGAGGAAGGGAGACCTGCCTGCCAGGATGCCCCAGGCCACACGGGGCTGTTGCATCAGCCCTGATTCTCTGACTCTGGACGCCCATCCTTCCCTTTCTCTACTGTATCTACACACACCCCAGCCCCTCCAGCCCACAGCTTCACAGGGGATCCCAACTCCAACTCTCACCCTCCAGGATGCCCTCTGCTTGGGCCTGAAAACACCTGGATCCCCAGCCTCAAGCACCCCTCCTGACTGAACACACTGGTCCACACTGCTCCCACACCAGGAGGCCCTGGTGGGGCCAGAGGGGCTGCAGGGTCCCAGGCCTGCACCTCTGGATGGCCGCCCAGATCTTGAGGCCGTCGTCTCGGTAGTGGTAGTTGGGGATGGCCAGGACACCGCGGGCCTGCAGGCTGTCCGGAAGGCAGAAATTGGTGTAGGTGAAGTGGGCCAGGCCGGTGCTCATGAGGTAGAGGAGGCCTTGCCTCCCGATGGACGTTACCTGAGGACACAGTACAGCTTGGCTCCGGAGCTGGCTCACCCCCAGCCCTAGTGCCTGGGGAAGAGATGGGGCTAGGGACCCGGGAGAAATCGGTTGCAGTCTACCACCCCAGATCAAACCCCCGAATAGGTGCCTGAGGCGTGCTGCGCAGGACGCGCCCAACTGGCCTGGTTTGTCCTGGACCTCTGTAGCCTCTCTCTGTCCTTCCCTATCCTTAGGTATTTGATAACTGAAAGAAGGAACTACGTGCCAGAGAGGTTACAGTGAGCTGAGGTCAGCCGGGGGCTGTGCTGGGGCTGGGGCTGCCCTGACCACCTCCAGAAGCCGGTGGAACCAGGGCCTAAGGGGATCTGTGGATGGGATTGGCAGGCAGGCAGAATTTATGGGCGGGGGAAGCAGGAGACTGCTGAGAGGGGCGGGGCTTTGGGGGACGGAGGGTAGGCGGGTGGCAGGGATTGTGGAGACGGAGCAGGGCTTGTAGGTGGTACAAGCAACCTGGAGGTGGGCCCTGTAGCGTTGGAGATAGCGGCGTCTGAGGGACGAGATTGACAGATGGAGGCGGGGCAAAACTTGTAGGTGGGGCAAAGCTTCCGGGGACGGGCCTTGGGACGCAGCCTCGGAGGGGAAGGGTGGGGTGAGGGAGTGAGGAGGCCGCACCTTGTCCACGAGGCCCTCGGGGTTGAGCAGTGTGGCCCGTGCGATGGTGTTCACTTGCAACGTGTAGCGAGTGTGGGGGAGCAGCAGCTGCGAACGGGGCAAGATCGCATAAACTGAAGGTCTGGGGGAAAGGCCGCTATGACGCCCCTCTCCTGTGGGCCTACCCTTTCTGCCCCGCCTTGGGGTCGCACAGACCTTGTAGATAGGATGGCAGAGGGGCAGCTGACGCAGCGTGGCCATCGCAAAGGCCTCGCACAGCAAATGCGTGCACAAAAAGTGCGTGTTGTTCTCATGCACTAGGAACTCAGCGTTGCGCACCCACGTCTTGGCCAGCAGCCAGTCCCAATAGCAGTCAGTGGGCAGGAAGATGGGGCTCTCCGGCCCGGGGGTCTGGCTGAGCTGTGTTGCAAGAGTAATAAGGGGGTGGGGCTCAAGATCTCTAGTATGCCCCTGAGGCCCCGTCCCCAAGCCCCGCCCGCAGGCTCACCTGGATGGCCAAGGGCATCAGCGCCCCCTGGGGGTTGAGCCACAACAGGCAGAGCGGTGCGGCCACATACTGCTGGCGGCCGTTTAGGCAGTGGACAGGGGCTTCGGCCAGGATCCAGTAGTCCGCAAGGAAGATGTTCCCCCTCTGGAGAGGGCGCAGAGAGGCTTGGAGTGCCTCCCCACCCTGCTCCCCTTACTTCTCCGTTCTCGGCCCTCTCCCCACCCCAGCTCGGCCCTCAGTAATGGCCAGTGTTGGGTACTCCACCCTTCTCGGAACGTCTGGAATGAGGTCCATTGGCTCCCTAATTGTGAAACCTCTCACCTGGCCTCCTGGCTTAGACGAGTCAGCGTCCCCTACCTCCCAGCCTGGTCCTTCCCACTCCCTAACTCAGATGGAATCCCTGTTTGAGATCTGTATCCAACAATAGCAAACATAACACTCAAGAATTAACCAACCACATCTCCAGCCTTATGGAGGATGCCTGAGGGCTCAAGAGTCCCAGAGACCGGGTGATCAGCTCCCCAAAGCCCTCAGAGCTCCCAGGCCTACTGGATTGTTCCTGCTGTACCTGGTGACACTGCTCCTGGCCTGTCCTAAAGCAGCCTTCCTGGGGCCTCAGCACCCAGGATCGTGGATGTCCCAGAACAGGGGCGAGGCATCCTCCTCCAAGCTCCCTGCAGCTGCCCTGTTCATGGACACCGCTTCACCAGGCCCCACTGCAGGCCCCACGCCATCCCGAGCCCCACATAGCCCTCATCTATATCTGTTCTACTTAAAAAGTGCAGGGCCGTGGCTGCCCAGAGGTTGAGGCCTGGAGGCTGGATCCAGCCCAGCCCAGCCCTTCCCTGCCCTCCACAGGCACCCTTTGTTCACGATGGCAACTTGCCCACCTCCCTCCCGTTAGTCTCACTCCTGACATCGTCACTCACCTCTAGCTCTGTCTGCAGACACGTGTCTGGTCCCAGCAAGGGGGCCACCATGTCACTGGTGATGGGCAGCTTGCTGGGCAAACTACAGAGGCAATGGAGCATGACAGGATTGACGCCATTCAGGTACTGGTACCCGAAGAATTGGTCCTCACACCAGTGCTCTGTGACGTACTCTGGGGAGCAAGGGAGGGGCCGGTTCATCTGGAAACTGCTTCCCTAGATTCTGCTCCTGCTCAGCCCTTTGCTCATCCTATGGTAGGATCCCCTGAGGTAGATAAAATTATATCTTCAATTTAACACTGGAAACAGAGGGTCAGAGAGATGGAGGGACTCGCCTGGTAGTTAAGTGGCAGAGCAGGGGTTTGAATCTAGGCCAGTCTGGCCCCAAAACCCAGAATTCTTGGTGGTGGGGTGAAGGAAAGAGAAGCCAGTGCCCCTGATCAGGATCAGGACTCCCTAAATGACCCTTGACCCTCTCAAGGCAAGCAGAGTGTCTCTCCGTCCTCACTCCCCTATTCTTGTTCCCTCCCAGAAGAAAAGGGAGGTTCTTGGGTTCCTGGGGGAAAGCTGGAAGAATTCCCACCAGTGAAACCAGGAGCCCCTCACTCAAATCCAGCAGTCTTCTTGGGAGGGCTGGGAGAGGGCCCTTTTCCAGGATGGGGGGAAGGGTTCCGAGCATGTGCTAAGACGAGAGACAGACATCTCCTGCCTGGTTCTGCACACCTGAAGTGAAGGTCTTATGGCACCAGAAGATATTCCGGATGTCATCCAGCTTCTTCCAGGAACCTCTGCGGTCCAGCAGCCCTCGAAGTTTCATGCCCAAGGACCTGGCGGAGAGGGGAAGCTGAGGGTGGGAGTCCAGGGGCTGGGATGTACCAGAGCCTCTGTGCTCCAAGCCTGGGGGTTTGGGGGAACTTGACAGAGTTAATACCCAGATAGAGGTGCCTAACAATCCACATGAGAGAAAAGTCTAGTGCTCACGTGAGGTTTTGTAGTCTCAGTGAACCCCAGTTCAAATGCGACGATCCCCGGGAGGGGTAATACCTCCAGTGTGGGCAAAAGTGGTGTGCATAGCCACATGGTGCAGTCAAGTCATTCTCACTGGTTTTTTGGTCCGCTTTCCCCAAGACTCCATCTTATCATAAACCTTCACTGGTTCCCCTTCCACCTACTGACTGCTGAGCCTGGCTGGCCAGGAAGCTCCCACCAGCTGGTTTCCATCAATCTTTCCAGCTAGTTTTCCCACTCTGTGTACTACACAAGCCCAACCCTGTTCTCAAAACATAACCAGACAAGTGCTTTATACATAGGCTGATAACAATGGGGCTGGCAATCTGACGATGTACGCTTTTCACTTTGTTGGTATCTGTCCTGCTGAATTTTTTACAACAAGCATTATTATTTTATAATGGGGAAAAAAGTGCTTGAAATTAAGTCTGCTTTCCCCACTTCCTGGGCTTTGTTCAAGCTGTGCCACCCCTAGAATGTCATCTCCTACATTTCTACCTTTTAAAAAAACCTTCAGGTGTCATACTGTGGTGGCTTGCGTGTTGCTGTGATGCTGGAAGCTGTGCTACTGGTATTTCAAATACCAGCAGGTTCACCCATGGTGGACAGATTTCAGCAAAGCTTCCAGACTAAGACAGACTAGGAAGAAAGGCCTGGTGATCTACTACTTAGCCAATGAAAACCCTATGGATCACAATAGAATACTGTCTCATATAGTGCTGGAAGATGAGCCCCCTGTGTTGGAAGGCACTCAAATTACACAGCAGCCACAACAATGGACTTGAACACCCCAACAATCATGAAGATGCCACAGGACTGAGCAACGTTTCGTTCTGTTATGCGTAAGGACGCCACGAATCGGAGCCAACTCAAGGACAAGTAACAACCACAACAAAAATCTATTTTTCTCGGCTCATCTTTGATGCAAATTCCTTCGTGAAGCCTCTCTTGATTTCCCTTAAGCACACATCTTGTGTTTATCTTTCACAAAACACTCATCGTTCTCTGCATTCCATTATAAACCCAGTAGACGTACATCAACTCCCTTATACTATGAGCTCCTTATGGCAAGGACACACCTCTGTATGCCCCAACAAACCCAGCTCATAGTAATCACTCATTAAATGTGAGCCACACCAAACGAAAGGGAACAGAGCATGGAATAGGCAGGCTTTGTGGCAGGCCCCACTGGCCTGTGAGGTAGGCTGTGTAAAGATGCTGATGTGCCAGGAAGAATGTGGGCACCTGGGGAAGGGTGGCAAGGGAGGATTAAAAATCTGACAAGCCCAGGGACAACAGTGCCAACCTCACCTGTGCTCACTAAGCCACTTAGTTACCATTCTGCAGACATTTGCTGTGTGCCTGCCCAATGAAGACCCAAGAAAGGGGAAAAACTGGGAGGGAGCTCAATCATGAAAGCAGAGGCTGAGAAGAACAGAGAGAAAGAAAAGGTCTTCTTCCAGGGCCTGCTGTGAATGTGCTTCAAAACATCCTGCAGTCACCCCATGCTCAGACTCGGTTACCACTCCTTCACTTCCGTAAGCGCCTCAGCTGTGCCAGACACCAGCTTCCTCCTTCAGCTGCTCTGTCTGTGGTAACCCTTCTCTGAGTTCCATGCCAGCCAGCCAGGTAGTCTCCTGAGACCTCCTCTGCCTAGACCTACATATCCATCCAGTCACCAGCTCAGATGACTCTACCTTCTGAGATGCTCCTTTGATTCCTCAGCCCTGTCAGGGTCTCTCAGTGAGTTCTTGTCCTGAATCCTGAGCCACCTGCCACCTTTGGGAATCTGCACACTCCAAACCACTCCAGACACTCCCTAGTTCCCCACACCCCCCAATCCCTCCCCACTAGTCCTCCAGAAGAATCACTGTGGGCACAGAAGCCCAGGAGATGAGGGTTCAGCTCCTTGTCCTGGCCTCTTCTGGGCCTCCACGTGGTCAGCTGAGCCTCCCAGGTTGGCTCACTGTCCCCAACCTGGGTTTGCCCAGGGCCCACCTACTCACCCCTTGTCTGTTCTCCTCTCCTCTCTCCATCCCAAAGCCTGCCTCAGTTCCACCTCTCTCCCCAGGAGCCACCTCCTAGCCCCAGCTGACCTAGCCCCCCTCTAGGCAACAAGGGTGTTAACTGTACTCCTCCCTCCAGCCACTTAAACATTTAGAGCCTGGCTTGTTGACTTGAGTTGCTAATGACCTCCCTGATTGCTAATTAACTGCACGCCCTGTCGCCTTATGATACTGTGAATTCCTCACAGGTGAAGACAAAACGCTAATACTACTAATAACCAACGTATATTGAGAGATTATTTTGTGCTGGGCATGATCTCATTTACTTCTCCCGCAAACCTATGAGGTAGTTATTAATATTATGGTCATTTCACAGATGAGGAAGCTGTTCAGAGGCTAAGTGAAAATCAAGGTCACACAGCTAGAAAGTATTGGTTCTGGAATTTGAACCTGAGGTGGTCTGACTTACATTCTTAAAGCTTAATCGGCTAGGCACACTGCCTCTCTGTCCTACTCAACACAGGCCACCAATAATGCCTGGGACCGTGCGCTACACAGAGTAGGTGCTTAATTCATAGTCACTGATTTGATCAATTTGAGGAATGGGAAGAGAAGGGGCAACTAAGCAGCAGAGAGGAGGTGATGGGGAGATAGAGAATGAGGGAGACTGAGAAGAGAGAGGGGAGGTGGAGGGGCAGATAGAGGGGAGGCCAAGGGACAGAGATGTGAGATGTGCAGCTAAGGGGGCAGGAACAGAAGCGACAGTGTGCAGGAGTGGAGAGAGGGCAGTGGCCTCACGCAGGGATGGCATTGAAGAGCAGCGAGGTCGTCTTGGTGGCCGAGTAACGGATATTGGGCTCCATGTGCAGCAGAGATGGGATGTCAACTTTCATGGGGAAGCCAGGCAGGTACTGATTCCCACTGCTGGGGGGCAGGTGAGCAGAAGGACAGAAATCAGTTAGAGGGGCCTGTAGCCCACTCCCCTTAATTCCCTCCCTCTGTCCTGCTGCCAGAGTCTCCAGGTCTCCCCTCACTCCTGGCTCCTCCCCTCCCCTCTCTCCTCCTGACCTGAGATGACCTCCTCATCCTGCCCTCTCTGTGAGGCCCTTCGGGCCATCCTGGCACATTCCATTCCTGGCTCTTGAACTAAACTGTCCTTGTTATAGGCCCTGACTCCTCCTTCCAGGCTCCCTGGCCTCTATCCGCCCAACAAGCCTTCCGCTTCCCTCCCTACCACCTCCTTCCAAGCCTTGGTCCTCACCTCTCACCCTGCTGTGCACAAGGTGTCATCCTGGTCAATGCATATTTCTTGTCTGACTCCATCTCCTCAAAGTTGCTGACGTCCACCATGCGGGGGAAGCCAGGGGAATAGATTTTCCAGCTACCAGGAAAGAGGTCAGAGATAGCAGGTCAAGCTTAGGATAAACAGGAGCCTTAGCTTTTAAAAACATGATTTCCAATTAAAACTCCCAGAAACCACCCACTTTCTGGGAAGGTAACAAGAACTTGCAATTTTCTCCATAAAGGCACTAAGGCTTCAGATCAGGGTAGTATTTGAGGATGACCTTAATGTGTTGAGTTTCTGTTGAGTTGAAGATCAAGGCCAATTTGGAGGTGAGGCTGAGGGTGGGTGGGCTGAGATTAGCTTTGGCCATGGTTAATACTAGGGTCATTTCTGATATTGGGGTCTGGGTTACACCAAGGCCAATTTAGGGTTGAGTATGGATTCATTGATGATATTGGGACAACTGTAGATACTGGTGTTCTGGGTCTGTACCAAGGATCAATATCAGATTGAGGCTGGGTTTAGATAAGGTACCAATTGGAGTTGGGCTCCCAAGATTGGAACTGAGGTCAGAGTTAAAGTTGGTAACAATCTGATCAATGCTGAGGTCAGAATGAAGAAGGGTCACCCTCACCGGTAGCATTCCTGTCGGGCCTGGAGTTCGCGTTTCCTGTGATCCAAAAGGAGGGGAAGGGTGTCCTGACAAATAGTTTTTGCTGTGGAGAATAAAAATTACTCTTTTCAAATAACACCTTCCTGAACCCCCTGACCCTTGAACCCAATCCCACAGGCAACATAGACGCCCCACTGGTTTTTTGTGCATTCATTGGTGGAAGGAATTCTGGACAACCTCACCCCAAAATTATAGTGATCTTCCTAATTGTTTGCGTGTTTGTCTCCCTTCCAGACTATAAACCTAGTGAAGGCAGAAGTTACGTTGTATTCATTTTTGTGTTCCCAGCATCTAGCATGGTGCCTGACAGCCAGCACATAATATGCCCTTGATAAATGACTGATGAACCAATACATTTTGTGAAGGGATGAATGGATGTGATGTGATGATGGATGGGGCTTCACAGTGATGTCTGGGAAGAACTCACTATCCACTGAAGGTTAATGTTGACTTGCCTCACTGTGACCCAGAACATTCATCACTCATCCCGAAGACTCATCTCAACACTCAGATCAGCCCTAGTCTTGCCGCTCAGGATAAAAGAGCTCCCGAAATAGGAGGACCCAGAGACTGAAGGGGACCTAACACCTTACGCGCAGCATCCTTAAAAGGCCCCACAAATTCACCAAGGGACCCTGGCAGCACTGGGCAAGGACTTCACCCACACTGGAAAAGCTAACCATGGGGGACAGGGCCTCTCCAGCTAAATTCTCTAAACATTCAGGGCTACTCCTCCGGGCTCCAGAGGACTTAACTCTGGGGAAATACAAACGGAGAGAGTGGAAAGCAAGCTGTTGTGTGTGTGTGTGTGTGTGTGTGTGTGTGTGTGTGTGTGTGTGTGTGTGTTTCATATGTTTCTGTGTGAGTATGCTTATGTGTTTGTGTGTTTATGAGCGTGTTCCCACGGGAGTGTGGGAGTCTGTATGAGTCTTTGTCTCTGTTTGTCTGTGTGTGTTTGTTTTCAGAGGGGTAATTCTGCCCAGAAATCCCCTGCGTTTCAGGAATTTAGAGGTTCATTTTTTTTCAGAATGCATCTACTTGGGAGCCCAGAGTTCCAGCTGCCGTAACCCGACACTATTCCCTACACTCTGGGCTCTGTGAGACTCCACCCCTAATTCCAGCAGATGCCTTCCAGAACACAGCCCGCCCAGCCCCTGCCTCTGGCCCACCTGTTCCTGGTCGAAGCTCTGTGGTGCAGTAGCCCTCGATCCACTGATAGCAGGGGAAGTGGGAAACGGTGCTGTCGGGGGCAGTGACACAGATGCGGCTGCAGTACCAGGAGTCTTTGGGGAAGAAAGCATAGCGTTCCTTGTGTAGACGCAACAGCAGGAGCTCACCCAGCTCCTCTGAGCAGCGCACCTTGTACTTCTGCACCTGAGGGGACCAAGGAAGCAAGATCAAAAGAGGCAGGGAACCGCCGGGCCATCCTCGCATCTTGCAAGGTGTGCCCACACCTATTCAAGTGAACAAGCCTGAGCTGCTGCTAACCCATACAGTGCTTTTGTATGAATTAGGAAAGGGCATCCCTTCAGCCAGGCAGAAGCAGAGCAGGCACTGAATTTCACTAGTTCCTTGGCCACCGGGCACCCTCGTGTAGGCCACCAACTAATAACTTTGGGGGCTAGCAGAGGCAGGAACAATCCCCTTCAGAGAAAAGGAAACCCAGGCCCAGAGAGGGGAAGCCAGAGAGGGGAAGCAAGTTGCCCAAAGCCCACCTCCAGTTGTGAGAAGAGCTGGGAAGCCAGCCAGGTCTCCTAACTCCTTGCCCAGTGCTCCATTCCCTTCACAGCCCTGTCTGGGTAGCTTTATGATCCTCAGGAAAGGCAGGGACCAGAATCCAGATGCTGAGGAAGTCAGGGCTGGCATCCTGAGTTTTGCGGGGTTTGGTGTATCCAGAAGGGAATGATCTTCCTCCACCTTCCTAGTTCCCTGCCCCACTGCCCCTCATGGGTCGCTTCCCCACGCCGCTCTGTACTCACCGTTCCAGGGGCAAAGTCTCTGCCCATATGATCCAGCAGCTGCTTGGGGCTCTCTCCACATGTGCCCACCAGTGTGATGGAGATGTTGTCCAGGGTGCCAGCCATCAGGTAGGGCCCAGTGGTCACATACACGCGGTACACGGCCATGATGGGAGGGAGGAAGGAAGGCACCCAGCGGCGCTGACCAAAGCAGCAGCCGACCTAGAGGAGGTGAGGTTGGGCCTGGAGGAGGTGAGGGTGGGCCGGGCAGGGCCAGGCTGCTGGGCTGCTGGGCCAAGGGCTGGGAGCAGGGTGGGCCTGAGGAAAGGCCCAGCTGTCTCTGAGATGCTCTTGGGAGGCTCCCGGCCTCTGCCCTCGCTCCCTGCTGGCGGCTCGGCTCCTTATCCCCACCCACAGTCTTGCGCCCTGATATTTGTTTGCGTGCTTCTGGCACAGCCGGTCCCTCTGCCTGGCAGGACAGGGCCCACCCAGATGGATATCAGAAGCTCGAGTCCCACTGGGGAGGGAGAGACTAGATGCCAAGATGGAGGCAGGTGACGCCTGCGACACGGCCTCCGCCTGGTCAGGGCCGACTGAAGCCCTGGGACCCCTGCCTGCCCACTCCCCAACTTCCCCCTAGCCTTTCCTCCTCCTTCCCAGCCAGAACTGAGCACAGAGCATTCCTACTGTGAATCACCCATGTGACTCACTATACAGGTAAGCCGCACTCGGCCATAAATCACAGGTGACTACGACCAGACACAGGTGAGCTGCACAAACATCGCCGCACAGGCAGGGGATCGGGAACAGCTCTCCTGCCACCACCTTCCAACACTCTCCCACTTCCAGCCCAGCCCCACGCCCGGCCCTCGAGGTCTCCAGCCTTTGGCAAGTCCGACCACAGTTTTTCCCCGGTGTACGGCTGACGGGGAGAGACCCAAGAGAGGTCCGGGCGCGCAGCATCTGGAGGCCCCTGTTGAACATTCTTCCCGCTCCAGGTCCGCCCTCAGCCTGCGGCGCCGTGGGCGAGAGTGCCCGGGATGCCCAGGATCTGGGTTACCGGGGCTGGGGAGAAACTGCGAGTGAAGGCGGCAGCCGGCAGCGGCGCCGCGCGGCTAGTCCCGGTACCGCAGCGTCCTAGCCTCCGCTAAGTTCCAGCAGCAGCGACCAAGTATCCGCGGAGGTATTTAAGGGAGAGAGGCCGAAAAAGCGGAATCTACAGCAATCGGGCTCTCCTGGCTGTCTCCTGGTCTGGTGGGAGTCCTTTGCACAGACGCATACGATTGCATCTTGGTACTGCGAGCTGGGACGTTCCTACAGACAAAACCCTTATAGAAAACAGAGTAATCTCGGTTCAGGAGCCCGGATAGCTCAGTCGGTAGAGCATCAGACTTTTAATCTGAGGGTCCAGGGTTCAAGTCCCTGTTCGGGCGACTGCAGTTTTCCTGCCGAAAAACAACTATTTGTTTTTGGATACAATTAACATATCGTAGTCTTTCTAATAAAACAATGGAAAAGAAAAACAAAAGTATTATTACTTGACTTTAAAACTAAGTGGTATTAAGTATGGCAGGGTTTTAGGTTTGAGAAGGTGGAACGAATTAACAGCGGAGGGAAAGTTTTAGAGCAGTGTATTTACCAGCCGTAAATGCAATTTTAAATTTTCTTGTAGCCACATTAAAAAGAGTGAAGAAGAAAAAAAAGCAAAATTAATTTTAATAATATATTTTATTAAATCGAATATTTCCAGAATGCTGTTATTCTACGTTATCGATGTTTTTAAAATCAATAGAAATGTTATAGTACTTTTTTCATACTAAGTCTTTTAAATGTAGTGTGCATTTTACACTTAACAGTACATCTCAACTCATTTTTCAGGTACTCATAGCCACCGTATTGGATAGAGCATTTTTTCTTCTGTGAATCGTAGAATGAGGATACACGCAGAATAGAAAGTCGCATAATGTATGTAATCACTGCAGAAACTACAGGAAGGTTGGTTCCATGGTGTAATGGTTAGCACTCTGGACTCTGAATCCAGCGATCCGAGTTCAAATCTCGGTGGAACCTTACTTTTTTTTGACTGCGAACGCACTATATTTGTTTGCCCCATACTAAAATACTCTTTTGACCTGAAAGGATCCGAAAAAAAGAACTGGGAGAGTATTTGAGTTTTTCAAACTGGGTAATTGGAGCCCCTAGTACACCGTCAGGACAAGAGAACATATTTACGTGGGGTACAGTTATGAAGAAGTGGAAATAACCATGGCAGCTTGGAGCAGGGATGCACACTTAACGGTCTAACTGGTAGACCCGAGAGGGTAGACGGTAGTGAGATCGCTACCAGTGGGGTTCCCCATAAAATAAGAGCTTTCCAGAGGAAATTTTATTACGAACGGAGATACACTCGAGAAAAACTCTCGTCTGGCAGCGGTGGGATTCGAACCCACGCCTCCGAAGAGACTGGAGCCTAAATCCAGCGCCTTAGACCGCTCGGCCACGCTACCTGTGCGAAGAGTCAAGCTTCCCGTTGTCCACCTAAGAGACTAGAGGGGAGAGGTAGTGTGAAAATCATCACCTAAGGTTAACTAATTTCCTCTTCCACACTTTTCAAACTTGAAATGGGCAACCGTCAAGATTCCTGACCTCGAAGCAGCGGACTGCAGAGCATATAAACCAGAAGAAACAGAGACGCAAAAATGTACAAAAAAAGTTTATTTTGACGGGCGAGGCCACATCTGGGAATGAGGTGTGCCTGGGTTGGGACCACACCCCAGTCGGGCAACTGGAGCTCCGCACTAGCTCATTCACACTCAGTTGCTCTCTTTCCCTGTCTCTTTCACCCATGCGCGTCAGCACTCACACCTGGCTCACGTGCTTTGCGCCTGCTACCTCTTCTGGGCTGGCCCCTGCGTCTACATCACGCCTTCCCCTACCAGGTCCAGACCACGAGCTCCTCGTACGCCCCGCCCAATTACCTCACACTCACCCCCCCCACCCCCCCACCCTGCCCTTTTCCTATTCTATTTCCCGTAAGGTACAAGGCGACATTAGTAGTCAGGTGGCTCTGTGGCGCAATGGATAGCGCATTGGACTTCTAGAAATAACAATTTAAGCGATTCAAAGGTTGTGGGTTCGAATCCCACCAGAGTCGGTTTTATTCCTTTTCCTTTCCTCTTTATCTGGTTTTCTCTTAAAAGCTCCTATCTCTCCTTCCCCTACCCTATCTCAGCGTTTTTCCACCTGGTTTCGGTTGCAACCTCAGTCTCCGCTCTGCTCTCTTCTTTACTTACCTGTCTGCCCGGGGCATGGGCCAAGAAGCGCGAGACTGGGGATGGGGGACAGAGAGGGAGAGAAAGTGGGCGTGGACGCCGAGATAAAGGCAGGCCCCTGGCTCGGGGACACACCGGGATTTAATAACCACTTTATTCCATGCACTAGGGACTAGGGAAGGGGCTGGGACTGGGCCGGGGTCAGAGAGGGTACAATCCTAGACAGCGGAGAGGGGCAGGGAAAAGGGACAGGAACCAGGGAAATATATATTTATATAGATACTCTAATATAGACCACAATCTCACCCGCACGCTGTGCCCGCGTGCCCCGCTGCCCTCCCCAATACCTCCTCGCCCGGACGCCCAGGTCCCTCTGCTGCCCTCGGGCTGGAGTCTCTACCCTACCCCAGCCCCCGCCCCTACTCCCCCAAAGCTCAGGGCCAAGGTCTCCAGAAAGCGGGCGGCGGGAGCGGCGGGAGCGGCGGGGCCTTGGGCGCCCCGTCTTGTCTATGAGGCGGCGGTGGAGGCGGCAGCAGTCCGGTAAGGGGTGCCGGCGCGCCGGGATCCCCGGCGCGGGGGGAGCAGGGGGACGGGGACCAGGCGCAGCGCGGACTAGGGGAGCCCTGGTGCACTGGCGGGCGCTGGTGCAGCGCGGGGCCAGGCGACGGGGCGGCGGGGTCCAGCGGTGGGCGTGGTGCCGGGGGCCTGGGATCGACTGGCTCCGGCCGGGGCAGCTTAGGGCGCAGGTAGCCGTGCAGCGCGGAGAAGAGCTGGGCGCGGGCGGCCGGGCTGGCGTCTTGCGCGAAGGCCGCCAGGCGGAGCAGGCACTCGCGGAAGCCGGACAAGTAGCAGCTGGCGAGCGCCTCGGCGTCCTGGGCTGGGGACCGGGAGAACCCTGGAGCCGCGACGGCGAGGGCGGCCAGCCGAAGGAAGGGCGGGCAAGGCGGGGGCCCAGCAGGGGGGAGGGAAGGGGCGGGGCGCAGAGATACCAATGCCGGACAGGCGCACAGAGACCGGCAGGCAGGTGGACGGATAGAGGGAGATGAGGGAGACACAGAGACAGACACGCGCGGGTGTTATTAACCTGCCTCGGAGCAGAGCCTGCCGCTCCCCAAGCCCACCGTCCCCCGCGGGGCCCGCCTCCAAGTCCCTGGTCCCGGCGTCCGTGAGCCCCCCGCCCCCCGCCGCTGTCCCACCCCCGCGCTGTACCCGGGGGCTCCACCCGGCTGCGCTCCCTCAAGTAGCCCACGGCGAACTCCAGTATCTCCGCCTTCTCCAGCTTCGGGTTCCGGAGGTTCTACAGACCGGAGGGGAGGGCGCAGAGACAGAGAGGGGTGGGGAGAGAGGGGAAGTGGCAGGGGGAAGAAGGGAGGGGCGGATGCAGGAGCTCGGGGTGCCCTCGATCGCATTTGCGCGCGGCCCACAGAGCGAGGCGCCACCGAAGGCGGAGTGGAGATGATCACGAATGGCCCTGGCCCACCCTGAGATGTAACTGTCTGACCCGAGGGGATGCAGTAAACCCACAGTCCGGAGACGGGGATTTGAAACAGAGAGCCCAGGGAGTGAACTTGGCCAGCCCTGCCGAACTGAAGCTGACTGCTCTGGGGTGGGGAGAGGGGAAAGGCAAATTACAGAGCCAAAGGGTGAAACTGACCCGGGCGTGAAACTTACAGACCCGAGGGGTGGCAGTGCAGTTTGCATTCTGAGAGCCAGAGGGAGTCTGGGATGGGATTCCGAGGACGGGACTCGGGTCAGGATGCCTTGGGGCCAAATCCGGCATTTGCCCCCACCCCCGTGAGAAGCCCTGAGAGTCGAGGATCTGGTGCCTGAGGGTTCGGGGCCTGCGGAGGGACTGACCTGGTCCCGGGTCCGCTCCAGCAGCAGCAGCCTCAGCTCTTCCAGGCTGCGGTTGATGCGGTCCCGGCGCCGCTTCTCCACAAGCGGCTTTAGCATCTGCGATCGGCGGGAAGAGGAGAGCGGGCCCACCGGACCGAGACTCAGCGCAGCCGCGCGGCATCCGAATCCCGCCGCTGGGAGAGCCCTGCCTCCACCCCAACCCCAAGACCCGGGGAGCTTGGGGCGGAGCCCATCGGTTCCCTCTCCGCTCCCCCTCCCAACGCCCCTAGGGTCAGTTTCTGTAGCTCGCCTCCTCTGTCTCGGGTCGTCTGCATTCTCCTCTCTCCGTCTCATCCTCCCTCCTCCCCTCTGTGTCTCTCCTCCTGCTCCTCTTTTATCTCTACGTCTCCGTCTTGTGCAGTCTCAGCCTCAGTGGAGAACTCTGGGGACCTGCTTTGCACCCAGGCACGTGCGCCACTCGGTGCCGGACCCAGAGCTGGCGGCCCTGAGTATAGAAAGGGAGATACCCAGCGCAGCCGCGCCTCCTCTTTTCCCGCTAACCCGTCTATGCGGTCACCCTTCACCACTGGTTCTCCTAAAATCTTCCACCTGGTTTCGGACCTCTGGGAGCAATGTCCTCGGGCCTTCCCTACAGACCGCCTTGGGCCAGCTCTGGCTCACTGCCGGTGTGGAAAACCAAACCCGTTGCTGTCGAGTCGATTCTGATTCATAGCCCTTGTGGAGTGAGCACCTATTCTCTCCGCTTGTTGTTCCCACCCTCATCGCTTGGCTCCATCCTCTTCTAGCTTATTTTACTTCAACTCCGGCCCCCTCCTGCTCCCTCCAGGCCGCGGGGTGCCGACCCCCATTACCCAAGTCCCCAGACCCCTGCTTTACTGCCCACGTAGGTCCTGCTCTGACCTCTCCCCTTCTTCATATTTCACAGCTTCCTCCCCAGCTCCTGGCTCCTCGGATCCCCCTGGCACCTCTCCTCCTCCGGCCTCGCGTCCCCAGCCTCTTCCCAGATCCAACGTCTCAGGGCAAGGGTTTCCAAACCGGCCCAGGGACCTCTGCTCCCTCCCTCCCGCCTCTCACCTTGGGGCCGTCCCTATTATCGGCTCGATCCCGTGTGACCATCGCTCCTCCGGACCCTGGTGTGGGACCGGGTCCCAGCTGGCCCTGAGCCTTATATCCCGCGGGCGCCGGGGTCGAGAGTGAGGACCCCGGCCCCGCCCCCTTCGGCACCCGCACCGCGCCCGGCGGGGCAGCCCTGGGAATCTCCCAGAAGGGGGAGGAGTGAAAGGGGAGGGGAAAGAGCGGAACTGGCCCCAGGCTGGGCCTGGGAGTGTAGGAAACGCGGAGCGAATGGGGCACTGGCTGGTTTAAGCACCGTAAGATTGTATAATAAGGTGGGACCCAGCTGAAGGGAAGAGGCTATTAGGGGGAGAGAAAGGAATTTCGAGTGATTTGGGGGACAAAAAAAAACTCAACTTCGGGGTGAAGTGCAGAGTCCAGAGTCTGAGTCACCCCAGAATCGCAGGTTTCTTGAGGGGGTAGCTGTACTCCCACTAACCCTGAAACAAAATTAGCACCCCTACATCTTCCCCCAATTCTGCTTCCTACTCGGACCGGGGAGCAACTCGAGCGCTGGGTGGGTCCGCCTGACTCAACTGGGGCGCTGCCTGGAGGTGGAGGAGGCGCTCTGTTCTATCTAAGTCAGTTATACTCAATTCCCCCAATATCTGCAAGTTCATTGTAGCCGCAGGGCCCTGGTCTAGACTTGGACAGTTCGTGTTGAGATACGCGTGAGAGGCCATGCTTGTCCCAGAATGAGCTAGTGAAAAAGACCACGTGTCATCAAGTAGCTATTACAGAGGCAGAGTGAAGCAGGCGCTCCAGAAAAATGGTTTTCCTGAGGGGTGGCTGGACCTTGTCCCAGGGGAGGGAAGAAGCTTCAAGGAAAAGGAAGCCAGGCCTTGAAGCCTGAGCAGGAGATGGAGAGATCTTTCCATTTAGAAATATTTGGCTCAGAAATAATTCTAGAGTCAGGAGTATGGCTTTCGGGACACGTCACAAAAAAGTGTATGCCTTTCTTGCTTCTGGGAGCCCCTCATGGCCACAAGGGAGCAGGGAACAGGTAGTTTTCCTAAAGGAACAAGAAAGGGATACAAGAAAGCAGCCAGCACTCACCTCAGACCAAGAGTATGACCCTTCTGCAGAATGAGGTGTGAATACTCAGAGACTGCCAGGTAGGATAAATTAGAGCGCTTTAATGGGGCAGCAAGAGTGCCAGGGACAAAAACATGGAGAGACAGCGTTACAGAGGGAGACAGAAGTTAGCTGCTGAGCCAGAGTAGAGTGGGGCTTCCTCCAGCCCTCCCAGCGCCCCTCAACACCTTAGTTCTTTCATGGAGCCTGCCTTGCCAAAGCCGGAGGCTAGAGGGGCACAGATCTTGGGGAGGGGGTCTCCCATTTGGGATCAAGACTCCCAACATTCCCCACCTCCCCCCACCTCGGCCAAATGGGAGCGCAGATGTGTGGCCCCAGCAGCCCCTGCCGCCCCCCTGCTTGGGAACCTGAGCTCGGACTGAGTTTTTCTCACCTCCACGCGAGGCTCGGGGCCCCAGGCTGTTCGCACCCGGGTGTGGGGCCGCCCCTGGCCATATGGGGCAGCTTTATGGCCCAGAGGCCGTATCCGGGAGGGAGGAAGGATGGCCTGGCGCTCCACCCACATCAACCAGTAGGCCACTGCTTGTCTGAGCAGCCAGCGGACACCGCTCGCGTGGCCACGGCCGCCGCACCTTCTCACAAGCTTGGGTAAAGCCACCGAGAAAGCCGCTGTCGTTTGTATTGCTGGTTCACTGGTAAAACTTTTCGCCCGCCATGCGGGAAACCCAGGTTCGATTCCCGGCCAATGCAGTAGGAGGTTTCGTTTGTTTGTTTTTCCTTTTTCCCCCCTAAACGCGCGATAATAAACGTAATGACGTTCCTCAAGAGCGTCTTTGTTTAACATTTCTACCAAATATTAATATTTGCTTTTAACTTTGATTCCATCGCAGAGTTTGAGGCTTGCAATCTATTCCCTGATTCCGTACGTCCTCACACTCCCTTCCACCCAGCCTGGGGGTCCTGTTTCTTCAACACCCCTCCCTCTGCCCCCGGCCCCGCACCTCTACAGGCGTGACCCTGAGAAAGGACACAGCACGCCGGTCCCTGCCCCGGGGGGCCTCAGGGCCCTGCGCGGGGGAGGGGAGAGGTCTTAGGTCCCTAGCTTTTCTTTACATTTCTCTTCCTCCCTCTTATCGTCGGTTATCTCTGACTTGCGCTTTCTTTTTCCGGGTCCCTTGGTCTCCACCTTTTTGTCTCGCCGCTTATCCCTGTCTCTGAATGTCTCCTGGCGTCTCTGTCTTGCAGTCTCTTCGTGCCTCTCTGGATCTCTCACGTCGTTTCCAGGTCTCTTCGCAACTCGGGCTCCGGGTCTTTTCGAGTCTCGATCTCTTGAGTGTCTCCCGGTCTTTAGCTGTCTCCCCGCATCTCTGTCTCCGGGCCTCTCCGGATCTTTGAGGCTCTGTCTCCGGTTCCCTGAGTCTCTCGTCGTCTCTCCAGGTCTCTGGCGGACTCCGGGACTCTCTGCGCTCCCACGCTCCGGCTGTCCCCTGGGAAGCTCGCTCACACCTCCAGGACCCTGACACCTCCCCGCGCCGCCCCTTCCCGGCCGCTTTGATCCCGCACGCGTCTGGCCCGCGGGCGGCCGGGAGCACGGGCCAGCTGTGGCGGCCACATGTGAGCCGGGGCAGTGCAGCCCCCGGGTCCCCCCGGCGCGCGGCGCGGGCCTTCCGCTCCCTCCCGGCGCTCCGCCTCCCTCCGCGCCCCTTCTCCTGGCGCCTTCTCCGGCTGCGCCCGGGCTTCTGGGCCCGGGCCTCTGGTTCGCTGAGTCTGGGTCTCGGTCTTGGTCTATTTCCGTCTCTCCCTCTGGAACTCGCCCTGGGTCTGAGTCTCTGTCTCCTGTCTCTTTCAGCCTGTTTCATCTGAACCAGTGTCTGGGTCTCTGGATTGTCCCCAACTGTAAGCCTTGGCGGTGACCCCCAAAAGGAAACTAAAACAATCTGGGCATTTCTGTGTCTGTGTGTACAGGTTTCTGCCTGTGTATTTATTCACTCCCGTGTGCCAAGTATTATTAGGCATTGGAGCTACAGTGCGTCCCGGTTCTCCTGAAACTTAGTGAGGGAGACAGAAAACTAAGAAAGCAGAAAATAATGTAATTTCAGATGATTATAAGGCTGTGAGAGTAAGGGCATTGATATGACAACGGAAGCAGTGACTTGGCGATGACTTCAGAAGGAAGTGTTACTTACTCTGGGTGGTCCTAGAGGATCTCTACAACGAGGTGATATTTGAGGCCAGCTTTGATAACTTACAAGGTCGCTAGGAGTTGGAATCGGCTCGATGGCGATCGTTTTGGATTTTTTGGTTTTAATGACAATAGGCCAGCCATGAGAAAGAGTGGTCCAGGCAAAAGGACCAGGAAGTACAAAGGCTCTGAGTCATGAAAGGGTTTCACAGGTGGGAGCTTAGAGAAAGAGCCCCCGTGTACCTCGAGGGCACGTGTACCTAGTGAATTTGGAAGGTGATGGAGACAAGACTGGAGAGGCAGACGTGGCCCATCACACAGGGTCTTGTAGACTACTGAAGGAGTTTACATGTTAGTTCAAGTGTGATGGGAAGCCAGTGGAGGGTCTTGATCAGGAAAGTTATATTCTCTGATTTATGTTTTTAAAAAGACCACTTTGGCTGCTTGGTGGAGAATGGAAGCAGGGAGATGATTTTAGGAACTAAAGCAGTCTCCTAGGTAAGACATGGTGGTAGTTTGTACAGAAGTGGTGGCAGTAGAGAAGAAAAGTGAAAGGATTACTTCTAGGTTTTTGGCTTGAGTAAATGAGTGGATGGTAGTGTCTTTTACTGAGATGGGGAACCCTGGGGGAGGAAGAGTTCTGGGGAGAGAGATCAAGCATTATACTTCCACTGTTTTAGCTGAGATGCCCCTTTGTAAAACTGGCCTGGGGCCAGCATCTGACCTCCTCTAACTTTACAAGGGGGAAAGAGAATAAAGACCTACGGCCCAAGGCTGATTCATATGAAGTGGAGGTCAAACATACGTCCACCCTCCAACCATTTTACCAGTTCTGACAACAACCGTCTCTCCCACAGCGCTCTCTACTTCTCTGCTGGTTCGACAATTCATTGCAATGGCCACACGGAACTCACAGACAATACGGGGTTTGTTAGGGAAGTAACAGATTACAATTCACGATCAGAAACTACTCATAATACCTTTCTTTGGTCAGGACAGCTTATTCTCAACCTGCCCACAGGCACACCTCTCTCTGGCTCTCAGCTGCTCGGGTAAGTGTTTCAAAGCTCATGTGCTCTGCTAGTAAGTGCCCAGAGGCACCCTACTCCACCAGCAAGCCTCCTGCCCAAAGGTGCTCAGCTTTCTTGCTCTGTGGGCTGGGAAACCCACTGTAGTGCCACCTGCCAGTCTTCTGGTTCCGCTGACTCTGCCGCTGCCGTTTCTCTGCTGCTGCTTCTCACCATCTCTTGCCATCTGTGGTGTTTGTCTCCTGGGTCTAGGAGGTTCTCGGTGCAGGGATCCCGGGTCCAAAGAATACGCTTCACTCCGGGCTTTTCCTTCTTGGTGGCCATGAGGTCCCCTCTTTCCACCTCTGGGATGGTTCATTTTAAGCCTAGCTGGATGGCAAAACTAACCAATCCCCTTGTTAGGGTTCTGCATATCTTATTTGCATGCTCCCACCCCCACAGGGGTGCCATGCACCTTATTTACCTTATTAGCAAGTTATCCAATCCACTTGGTGGGCCATAAGCACCTAATTTGCATAGTCCCACCCAGTTATTTGGTGGGAGTTTAAAAGTCTGTGGTTAGAAGAGCCATATTAAGTAATTCTCTGCACTGCACCCTCAGCTATCCGAGTGGAGACTACAGGTAGGCTGGAGATATATAAGTTTTGGGGCCAGAGATGGAGGGTAAATATTGGAGAATCATTGGAATATAGATTTTTTTTCATTCATCAAATAAAATATTTTGTTCAAAATATTTTATTCCCTAAAACAAACTTGAG